GTGCATTCTTGATCCCGAAAATTGGGAGTCGCAGGCTTTTGCGGACTTCGAGAAGGATAATCAAGTTAAGGAAAAATTTCCCAGCAAGGGTGAATCGATGGATGGATCGGCAAGGGCAAGCCCGCCTCATTGCCTCCATTGAAAAGGAGCACGAGACAGCCCGCCGAGAATCTACACTTGCTGCGGCGGCACCATGCTTCTGCCCATCTGCGCCCGCCCATCCATTCAATCATTCCAGTCAGTTAGTTCTGCCACCTGCCCACACCGGGCCCCGGCCGCCACCCCACCAAGCAACAACAGCAACAGCAGAGATCTCCCATCCTCATGATGGCCGGCGCAGCGATGTGGAGCAATTGATGCACAGATTCCGCGGCGATTCCTTCAGGCCATCCATGGAGTGCATGCTGGATGGGTCAGACACCGCCGCTTTCTCGCCCCCTGGTTTTGGATCGCCCACACATCGCTATCATCCTATTAACCATACTCCATACTCTATACCATAAGATTTATTTGTTTAAGGCTGAAATATTATAACAACAGATGATGACATTTTTGTGTAAGGGGATGTTTGATTGTTTGTTGCAACCAACTAAATGCAATATTCATGTGTACGAGAGTAAAACATTATATATATTAAATATCATATTTATGTAGATAAAGTACATTTCAAATACTTTGTTAAAGTCTCTACAAAATAATTCAATAAAACTGTATTTGGTTTTATTTTCTACCCCACTCATCCCAATCCTTCCGTGAAATCCAAAAACGTGTATTGTTTTTTTTTTATTTATTATTTATTTATTCATTTTGTTGCTGCTGTTGCTGCTGCTGCTGCTGCGGCGGCTGATTTTGTAGGTTCAGCTGCCCCTGTATAGCCAGCAGCTGGCGCTGAATTTCTTGAAGCTGCTGGGACTCCTGGGTGGGCGCCCTTATGGCACCCAGGAGCCCAGCAACCTTCATCGGTTCGTCTACCGAAAGACGAATGAATTCCTTAAGTACGTCTGTTCCGCCCACTCCGGCCGCCACGAGGATGCGGGCCATCTCGCGCTCCCTCTCGAGCACCCTCGCCATCTCCCGACGGAGGAGTGGCCGATCCACCGTGGCATCCCCCTCCGGCACCCTGTCCACCACCACCGCCGCGACGGCCCGCCGGACCTCGCGACCGGCTCTATTTGGGTGGGGAGCTGGAGCTGCAGCTGGTGGCGCCACGGGAAGTGGGGCGGCCGGTGCAGGGTGTCGGTGTCGGGCAGGTGCGTACGGTTGTTGTTGGTACCGGCGGCGTGGGTAATATCCCCTTCCACGATGCATCTAGAAAATATGATATACATATGTAAATTAAATTAATAAAACAATAATAAACACACTCACTCTTAAACTTTTAGAAACTTTAAACGAAAACTTTAAACTTTTAAGCGAAAAGGCGCGCCTCAGATGCTGGATTGCAATGTTGGAAAACGTTTAGTGGTGGGTAGATATCGAATATTCGAATTCGAATATCGAATAAGAATATAGGATAATCAAATTGAATATTCTTATATAAATAAATGCAAATAAATGCAATGTTATTAAGTTTAGGTACATTTTTTATTTATTATTATTTTGCTTACTTCATTTGGTCATTTGGATTTATAGATTTTAATTTATTACCATTATTTACATTTTACATAATATTGTATCGAATAATTTTACACCCACGATCGGGTTCCTCACTTCGTTTTGGCACACTGTTTTTTTATAAAAACAAGAAACGAAATGGAAAAGCCAACTTTGTAAGTTTTTAAGTTAAGTTTCGGTTCGGTCGTCGTCGGGTCGGTGGGGAATATAAAACGCGTCTGGTTATGTGAAAGCTAAATGTGTAAATATGTAAATTTGTTGTGTTCCCTCCCGCATACATATTTCGGGGTTTGTTTTTTTTTTATCAAATGGCAGGCAAATTTGCATATGCATGTATGAAAATTTTGGTGATTAAAAGTGAAAAGTGAAGTGAAAGATTATATTAGTTAAGGTGCACCCAAGGAGCGCCTTGCTTAGAATAACTAAAATTGTTATACCCGTTACTCGTACAAGATCGTACAAGATCGTACACAGTAAAAAAGGGGAAAAAAAACTGTCGGCATAAGTGATTTTTTGAAGGTGACAACTTGTGTGAAAAAACTGAGTAACGGGTATCAGATAGTCGATGGGAAATCGACTATAGCGTTTATCTCTTATTTTTTATTGTAGTTTTATTTTTAATTGTACTTTTTAGTATTTTATTATTAACTTTTATATTTTTTAACTTCTTTTTTCAGAAATTGCGTTGTTGAAAACTGCGAAGGCCATAAACAAGCCTTCCGTTTTCCAGAACGATTTAAAAATATTTGGCTTGCCAATTTAAGAAAAGATAGAGTAACGGCTAGATCGTTGGTCTGTATAAGGCACTTTAAGCCAGAATGTTTCTTAGGCAATAAGCTAAGGAAATGTAGTGTTCCTACTGAAGAGCTAGGGTTTGACCCTATTTATCTCTCAGTAGAGCAGTTTGAGCAGAATAAAATTAGTAGTGATGGGGTTGGGTATGGAAGGGAAATAATTTCAAAAGATTCTGATGCTGAAATAATGCGAAATGTAAGTCACGAAGCTGAAATATTGCATTATGACGAAAATGAAGCTGAAATGCGAAATGTAAGTCACGAAGCTGAAATATTGCATTATGACGAAAATGAAGCTGAAATGCGAAATGTAAGTCACGAAGCTGAAATATTGCATTATGACCAAATTGAAAATATTGAAAAGGATAATTCACTAAAAAATGAAAATATGAGGCTAAAAAAAGAAAATTCAGCTTTAAAGAAACAGATTCAGTTCTGGAAAAATAGGTCAAGACGTCTTGGCCTAGAGAACGCTTCTTTTAAAAGAGTATTTTCCAAGAACCTTGCCTGTGGAAAAACGAAAGATGAAATTGAAGAAATGCTTACGAATTGTAAAACATTTCAAGAAGCCCTTATTCGTAAAATAGCATTATTAAATTATAAAATTACTGAATTTAACGAGCAAAAATGCTCTGAAAATAAAATAAAAAATGAGTTGCCATGTGATCTAACTCCAGGCCTTGAAGGCACCAATTTTAATCGGCTAAAAAATTTAGCAAGCAGCCTAAATGAATCAGATAGGAACTGCGTATTAATATTTGATGAATCCCCTTTAAGGACTGAAATTTCTTATCAGTCTGAGGCCGATAGAGTTGTTGGTTTTAGAGACCTCGGAGATGGTAGGTCAGACCAAGATCGGTATGCCACTCCAGCTACTGGCTATCTTGTAGTTATGGCTCGTGGTTTGTGTTCCGACTTCAAGGCCCTGGTAGGCGTAGCATTTGTCGGAAGTTACATCCATTGGAGAATAATTGGCGGTTTTCTAGAAGGAGCACTCGAAGTCTGCAAAAAAGCAGAACTAAAAGTGCGTGCTATTGTTTGTGATCAAAGTACCACCAATATAAGAGCACTTCAATTAATTCAGGACAACGATGATCAATATCGGTTGACATCTCGAATGCATATTGTTCATGATTTTGTACATCTGTTTGAAAATATAGTTAGAAATTTTAAGCTTCACGACTTCCAAATTGGCACAGACATTGTGTCCTGGGATGTTATTGAACAATTTAATAAGGACGACGAGATGCGTACCATTCGGTTGGCCCCGAATCTTAATTGTAACGATAGAGTACCGCATGTATTTACTGAGGCGGTTAGTAGTGGCATAAAAATTACTGCTGATAGTAATTTTAAAAATGTTTTGATGGCAAAAAATACTGCCATATTTATACAAAAAATTAGTGAGGGCTTTAATTTGTTACAAAATGGAATTTTTTCGGTTGATGAGGAAGTTAGTGTAGGGTTAACTAATTTCCAAATGTATTTAAAAGAATTAAAAGTTCTCCCGCACAAGAACACGGGAAGCTCTTCGAGGAACATTTGTATCAAAGGTCTCATTAATACCTGCCAAAAAATAAATTTTATTTGTGATGATATAATAAAAAAAGGGGTCTCACAATCAATATGTACAAGTAGATTTAGTCAAAAACCCCTTGAAAACTATTTTATTTTCCTGAGAAACAGAATGGGAATTCTAAGGCCAACTGTTTCTCAGTTAATAAATGAAAACTACCGAAGCCAAAATAGTTCTGTCTTTTGTGACACACCGCTGGTTCAACCATGCCATTTCCAGGGCAATTTGGAAAACTTGGGAGAACGACATGCATTACGGTGTACACTGGCTTCTATACTTCCAAAATGTCTTAGGGAAGAAATATTTTGCAACTGCCGCGAAATAAACAAAAATGAAGGCGTTATTAAGTTAATGAACCCTTCGAATGCACTGTTTGAAGTAGCAATGCTTCATACAGAGATACTAAAAAAAGTATTTAACAGATGCCCCAACCAAATAAATATTATTAAAAATATTATTAATATATGTATCGAAGAAACTAATAAAAGATCCGACTGGTTTGACTCAACAAGCCCATGCGCAACTCATCGAAGAGAAATCCTGAAACTGTTTCTGGAATCTTTGCTGAAGGATAATTGTAAAAAGTATACTACTAAGTCTAAGAAAATGTTCAAAAAATTTTAATAAATAAGCGTAAAAATAAGCATACAAATTAAGAGGGACTTCCAAAAATGTAGAAACAAAGCGAAACAATAACTGTCCGGTCTACCGTACTTTCCTTTGGGAATGTAAAAGATCGCTGATGAGGGGGTTGGTGTCTCCCGAAACAGTTGTTGCTTACTTTCTTCCTACTTTTTACTTTACTGTAAAGAGAGAAAATCTCATTCGACTCTCTCTCGTAAAAGTACCACAATTTCGCTCGCAAAGCAAAATGTGGCCATACCGACATACCATAACCATACCGCCTCAGTTGGATGAGGCATTCGCGTGAAAATATCCGATGGATATGGCCTCATTGCCTCCGTAGTCTGTTTTTGTACGTACGTTTCACCCCCCCACCTCCCACCTAAATCATCCGCCAAACGCCTGGTGTTGTAATTTTTCTTGGTGAAAACGATTTTCGGTTTTTCGCAGTGAAAAGTGCAGCTAATTGCTCGAATTGCGCACCAAAGTGTAGATGAAAGTGGCGTTTATTCGTTTTCGACGCGGCAGTGGTGAAAAAACGGCCCAAAGTGCATGAAAAACGTGCTTGAAAATTTTACTTTGTGTGTAGCCACACGCACTTCAGCACACACACACACTCGCACACACAGACAGAGGGAGATAAACGCAGCGATGGCCTCGCAGTCGCACTCGCACATATAAAAAGCTCGCTTGTGTATTGGAGAAGGAGCGCACAAAGCAGAAGACGAGAGGAAAGATTTCTGTGTCATTGAACGAGAAAAAGAAGAAAGAGAAGAGAGCCGAGCCAGGTCCAGGAGCTCCTGTTCCTGTTCTTCCAGCGTCCGCAGGTGCAGCACCACACACTCTTTCCAATTCCAAGGATACGATACCCAGCATAGGGGCCTCTCAGCCGCTCTTTCTCTCTCTCACTCTCTCTCTGCCTCGATCGATACTGGTAATTAGCTGGCGTCCTCTCCTCTCTTTTTGGAAGTGTCATTTCATTCCATTTCATGGACGAAAACGAAATCGAAATCAAAATCGATGGCTAAATGAAATAGCTGGCGAACAAAAGCGGAAATATGTGCATTTTAAAATTGCGTGTGTCAGTAATTATGTGAATAATAAGCAGCAACAAAAAAAATGGTACAATAAGTGGCAAGATCAGCGACATTAACGCACACACACGCACACTCATGCAGGCGCACTGGAAAAAAGGTTCGCCGAGATTGTTGTTGCTGCTGCAAACTGGAATCGGGATATTCTTCATAATGCATCCACGCACTTTGTGCTCCTCTTTTTTCGGCCTTCTGTGTGTGTGTGTGGGTGTTGTGTGTGCGTGGTGTGTGTAACCTTTGCAAAGGAAAAATCAATAGCAACAGACGTAGACATTTGTTTGCCGCTGTTTATGTGATATGTGTGCAGCCCTCGCATTGTCCTTCGCCCCCAAAAACAAAGAGCAACCCTTGCTGAAATACCCGAATCCCACAAAAAAGCCCTGCAAATATTGGTCTTCTCTATAGACTATAAATAAAAGCAAAAGTTATCGCAGGCAGCAGAATGAAAAAAAATATAAAAAAGGCAGAGGAACGGCCAATAACTCGTCAGCGGGCTGGGTCGTTGCCTCTTTTTCCGATTCTGATTCCGTTTCTTCCTGCGACTCTGGTTCCCCGAACGAAAAAAGCTGCTCCAGAAGTTGTCTCACACATCTGCGGCCGGCATTCCAATTCGCCATTTCCACTGCTCGGTGCTCACACCTGGAAGTTAATAGCCTCTCTTCGCTTTCAAGCACGTCCTTATAGCATGACTCTGTCGGTATCATCCAAATTTGTATGTGGGTCTTAGTCTTAGTCCCTAAAACTGGAGGACAGGGCTAAGAACTTAACCATAAATATGACCAAAGTTTTGTAAAATTAGTAGAATCGATTTTAATCTAGTGGCGAATGGAATTTAAGGTATCCCTTTTAATAAAACCCTCTTAATCCTGAAAGGTTTTAAGGTTATTCTCTATAGTCATGTGTTAATTAGGTCCTATTGTATTTATTTCGAGTTCACCACGATCATGAAATACATATAATATTTAGCTGACAGGATTTTTTGTGACCATACATTAGGATTACTTAATTTGCAGTATATTGATTTTAAAGGCAAGGTAAATGTAACACACATACTCAATAGTAACTCTTAACATTTTTTTTAATTTATGAAGTATATGCTATTGCTTATGCTTAAAGTTGATTGTCCTTCTTATCTATTTGGACTACAGTGAAAGCCTTAAAAAAATATTTTTAGTCTTAAAATTAGCGTCACAACTTCCTTTGATAAAATACTTTGCATTTTTGTAAAACGAGAATTAAATTTAAGTATACTGTAGGGACTGGCAATCTCAAAATATTAACGACCGTTTCTCAAAAGCCAAAAAAGGAAACTTTCAAATATTTGTTCGTTTCCTACTTGCTTTTATCGACTAGATGGTGATTTATACAAAGTAACAATTTATTTTGTAGATTTTCTTTAGCAAGAAAGCTAAAAATATCCTATGGTTTGAGTTACATTTTTTTTAGGAAGTTTTCGTCTGTGGATTAGTCAGGTTCTTATCCTAAACCTCCCTCTCCCCATAAAGTTGAATCGGCTCGGATAAAACCACGTTTGTTGAGATTACGCTGTACGCATTCCGCGGATAGCCGATCCATTGGATCGCCGGGCGTCGCATTCTTGGCATATCGGGTGTCGTCTTACCGAAGGCGACTGATATCGGAGCGCGTATTGAGACCAGGGCCTGGCACCGAGACTTCTGGCATTCTGGCACCAAAGTTCTAACATTCCTTCTCTCCATTTCAGCTCACCCGCGTGGAATCAGAGGATTGAGCAAGATGGACGCCAAGCCAAGGGGACACGTAGTTTTATGACTCTGAGGGGCAGCCAAGCCAGCCATCCGTCGCACTAGAAATCTAGAAACAGGAGCAGCCAGTGAGCAGGAGTAGGAGCAGGATCCACAGTAGCCAGGAGCCACAGATAGATAGAATCCAAAGCCCTCATCATGGTCGACAACAGTGTCCAGTGCCCCGTGTGCACATTGTACCTGCATGCGGGCATGAATCTCTCCGATCACTTGGAGACCCATCCCAAGGAACAGGTGATCAAGGCGCTGGTGCAGATGACGATCGTCGGGAGCGGTGGCAACAGCATGGGCAGTGTTCTGGCTGCCGCCATGCTGGCAGGTGGAACTGGAGGAGGTGGATCGAGTGGGAGCGACGCCAGTAGTGTGGTCGATGAGAAACCAGCCGACTTATCACCGCCTCCTGGTGGCGATGTCAAACCAGTTGTGGCCAATACCATATCAGCAGTAGCTTCGGCAGCAGCGTCCGTGGTGCCGCCAGCACCGCCACCGCTCTCCTCTTCCCTCGTGGCAGCCTGCTCGAACGGAGCCGCCTCCTCCACAGCCAGGTCCACACCCAACACCTCCTCCTCCTCCTCCGCAAGCAGCAGCAACAGCAACAAACCGAGCAATCCACCGATGAAAGCACTGAAATGCGAACCGCCCACGACTGAGGCGCGAGCCAACACATCCGCACATCCCACCACGAGCAGCGTGTCCACTTTGTACCAGCCGTCGCAGGTCACTCCGGATTATCGCTTCAACCAGCAGCAGCAGCCACAGCCGCAGACCACAGGCTTTGGCCGTGGTGTCACCGCCTCGCCGGCCACCCTGGTGATACCGCAGGTGCCCCAGCAGCACTTCCTCGCCAGCCATCAGCAGCAAGCCCACTTTACACATCAGCAGCAGCCGCCGCAACAACAACAACAGCATCAGCAGCAGCAGCAGCATGCCCTGAAGTTCAGCTATGCCACAGCTTTGCCCCCACCTCCGCCGTTGCAGGTGAGTTAGAAAGAAGGCAATTGTTTTTAAGACCCTCAAGAACTCCCTTTTTTTGTAATCCGAATCATAGTTCAAGGTTCATCGGCTCTTTGAACATATTTTTTGCGAAATTGATCTATAATACTTGCCAAAAGTATAAGCTAAATAACAAATTTCATAAGAATATAAATATGGACATCACCCTCTTCTTATATACATTGATTTTTCACGTGGCTGATGGGAAATAATGATACGTTTAAAATTATAACTTTGTGCATACCTTTCTGTAAAGGTTTCCTGTTGTATGCAAATATCGTATGTACTAGTTCACCTAATTATAGAAAGTATTATCGATTCCCATATAACATTAACGATTTTTGTACGTATGTACCCCTTTACGTATACACTTTTAAATGTTGGGCGTACACAAAATTTTGTTAGATAATTTAACGTATAAGGTTTCTTCACATTACTTTTAATCGGCAGGGTTTAAGTTTAATTGATAATTAGCTCACACATGGATTGATTTATATATTTTACAATGTTTGCATCTTGGTTTTAATTGGTTTCTTTCGTATACCTTACAGCTATTTACACAGCAGCAGCAGCAACATCCGAATGTCGCTCCATCGCAATCGCAGCAACAGTCGCACCAGAAACCACCTCCCGCCTACGGAGCCGCCATCAGTCAAATACGATCTCAGCACAACCAAAACAAGCAGCAGCCACAGCCTCAAAACGTGGCCATGCAGCACAACCTATCCCTGGCACCACCGACAACAGCACCGACTTCGACCACACTTGCAAATGCAGGTGGCAAGCAGCCCAGTAAGCCGCATACGGAAGTATTCCTGAATCCCCCACCACCGCCACCGACACAGCAGCAGCAGGCGCAGATCCACAGCTTGGTGCAGCATCAGCAGAATCAGGGCCAGCTCCATCAGCATCCCCACCAGCAGCAGCAGCAGCAGAGCCAGCAGATGGCCGCATCGTCCTCCGCTAGGATGCAGCAGCATCACCAGCAGCCACCGAGCTTGCAGAGTTACGGATCGGGTGGTAGCAGTAGCTGCAGTTCCTCCAACACGCCCTCCACCTCGACATCTGGACTCCGGGTGAATCGACAGACCAACTCTCCATTCGGAGCGCTGCTCAATGCTGCGGCGGCGGCGGCATGTGCTTCGCCAGCCTCGTCGAGCGCCTCATCGGTGCTGCGTTTTGCTGAATCTCCGGTGGCCCACTACTTGGAGCGCGAGAATGGTGACTTCATTGTCCAGGAGACGCCCAAGCATATTGTGGAGTGTGTGGAGAAGGAGGATGGGGAGTTCTCCGTCATCGAGCGCATTTACCAATCCCCGCCGAGTGTCCTGCACATACACGATGACGATGAGGACGAAGAGGATGAGGAGGAGGAGGACGACCACGATGCTCCGCCGGAGGAGGAGGACGGCGACGATGAGCGGGAGGAGAACAGCCACAGCCGCAATGTAGGAAAGACAACGAAAAAGGCTCGCAAGACGAAGCCCAAGCGAAGCTCCAAGCGGGTCTCGGACGAAGAGTTCATGAGCCTGAGCAGCGGATGCGAAAGTGAGCTGGAAAGGGAGAGTAAGCAGGAGCAGCCAAATGCAGCGACAGCTTTGCCGCCTCCTCTGTGCACGGCTCCCTCCACGAGCACGGCTGGAGTTTACGCTTCCTCCTCCAATCTGGCGGATAATCATTCCAATTCCGCTTCCAACTCCGCCTCCAATTCAAACTCCACAACCACGAAGGCCAAGAAGAATCGAATCACCGTGCTCAGTGATGTACCGCTCAATATGAATGAGTATCTGGATCTGATGGGCAACATTGTGGCCTCCAGTCGTATTGGGGCAGGTCGTCCCTTTGCCGCTGTGGCTCCCATACCACTGGTTAAGGTAGAGAAGGAGGAACCTTTGGATGACTACGACAGTGCGGGAGGGGCAACGGCAGGGGCAGATCCTACTGATCTGGAGCAGAAGCCCAGCTTGGAGCACGGCACCACCAGCGTTATTCGTATGGCAAGCACGGCTGCCGCGACGACGACGACTGCGACTGGCTTACCTGCCGAGGATCTCACCCAGCCGCCACCGACCCTAAAAGTCGAGGTGGAGCCCACCACCACCTTGCTCCCGCAGCGCTTCTCCACTCCCGCCCAGCAACGGGGGCCAAAGAAATTAGTCATCAAACCAAAAGCAACAGCACCAGCGACAGCGACGACAACGAAAAAGACTGACACCCCATCTTCCTCCAGCAGCAACCCATCCATATCAAGAGATCTGGTGCAGGTGAAGAGTGAGACCCTGGAGGCTCCGGCGCCCAGTAGTAGCAGTAGCATTCTGGAGAAGCACCTGACCACCACCAGCCGCAAACTGTTGCACCATCACTCGGCGGTCAACGATGACGACGCCCGGGTGCTGTTGGAGTTTGCCAACTCGAAGCAGCCGCCGCCACTGGCCGCTTCGAGCACCACGTTCGTGGTTAATGCCAGTACCGGCGGCTTCCCCTCGGCGGGATCCGTTTTCGCCAGCAGCAGTAGTGGCTGTTCCAAGACACCGGCCAAGCCGGGCGATGAGTACATCCTGCCGGACAACAACATGGAAGTGGATGAGATTGTGATATCCTCGTCGTCTTCCTACACCTCCTCAGCGGCCCAGGTGCAGGCCACGCTGCAGCCGCCGGACTTTAACTTTCTGTACCACCAGACCACAACCACGGCCACGACAGCTACCTACTTCAATCCCTTCTCCAGGCAGCAGCATCATCATCAGCAGCAGCACCACCAGCAGCACGGCGTCAGCGATGCCACCAATGCGGCCACGTTGGCTTCGTCGTCCAGTAACTCTTTGGATCACGACTCAATGAATGCAACATTCCGGGTGGCCAAGACGCAGTCGCTGCATTCATGGTACCAGCAGGAGCCGGAGCACGATCCGCAGAACCCAGGTGGCGTGGAATCGGGAACAGCCACGCCCTCCAATCAAAGCCAGGATGTGGTCAGCCACCAGCCCACCAATTTCAACGCCGCTCTGGCGGCTGTCGATTGCTGCAGCGTTGCCCTGGACGAGGATGCCAAGTATCTGGACCTGGACGCCTGCAAGCGGGAGCAGCTGAGTAGCAGTAGCAACCTTCCCTCAGCCTCCGCATCCACCACGTCGTCCTCGTTCGCCGGCGCTGGCACGGAGAGCAGTTTGGTTGGGGGCCTGAACATCCGCACCGATGAGAAGATGCCCGCCAAGGGGGAAATCTCCGAGCAGGAGAGCAACTGCGACATCGAGAACTCCTGGAGTGAGTCGGTAAGTTGTATCTTAATTGTTCTTTATCGTAAGCTGGTCTAACATATTACTATTTACAGGTTTATGGGGATATTTCGCAGCGGTATTTCAGGAACCAGTTTTCTGGAGGCTACAATCCCGACTGGCGACAGGATTACTACCCAGCTCAGGATCTCAGCGCCCAGCAGAGGGAGCAAAAACGGTAAGTCTTTAAAACTAATGATATATACAAGAACAACCATCCATTTCATAAATCTCTTAATCACTTACAGATTCGACTTTAATGCGGTTGATGACGAGGCTTCATCCAGCTCAAGAAAGAGTCAACTAACGGATGGCATCCAAACTGCGGCCACCTCCACCGCTTCCACGTCATCGGCTTTGCTGGCGGGTCCACCAATAGCTTCGACATCGCGGGCTGCCGCAGAGGCGGCAGCGGAGGCGGCTGCTCTCGCCCAACGGAAGCCGCAGCGCCGCAAGCTCTATAAATGTCCCCACTGCGAGGCGATCTTCGAGAAGCTCAAGGAGCGCAATGCGCACATGATTGGCGAGCACAATTACGTGCGACAGAACCGCCGACTCATCTGCACCCAGCCGCAGGTCAGCGCCTCGATGCTGCCGCCGCAACAGCAGATGATCCTGCAGGCAGGCGATGGAGTACAAGAGGATTCCAAGGACGGCATTGTCAAGATAAAACAGGAGCAGTGCCAGGAAAAGCAGGATGTGCATGAGCATATGCACGCCCATTCTGAGTTGCTGGCGGATGTCAAGGATTCCGAGCTGCTGGGCATCGGTGGTGATGGCGACGGCGAAGTGGATGGCGACATTAAGCCACCCAGCCAGTTGGATGAGAAGCCCACGCTGCCGCCGCTGGCCATGACAACGCCGGCTGCCAAATTGGCCGCTTTGTACCGCATGCTCATCGCCTACAACGAGTCCAAGCTCGGCCAGGAGCGCAACAACCTCAGCGAGCTGGAGCAGAAGGCCATGGAGAAGTCCATCTTTCTGTGCTACGTCTGCCGGACGGACTTCCCGTCCGTTAAGCTCTACGACGCCCATCTCACCGAGCATCCGGCTGAGTGCTTCACCTGCGGCAAGAAGTTCTACCGCTGGAAGAACTTCTCATTGCACCTGAAGCGTCACTTGGGCTGGAAGGAGTTCGGATGCTACGTCTGCGACAAAAAGTTCGTGGTGCGCAGCGCCCTCGTGGAGCACATGCGGATGCACACGGGCCAAACGCCACTCAAGTGCAAGATATGCGGTGAGTAAAACACTATATTAGTGATTTATAATAGGAGCATTGCCCAAAACCTGATATCTTTTATACTCCCATCCACAGGCAAAAAGTTCAAGCGCTACTCGAATCTGACGCAACACCGCAAGCGGCACACCAAGATGATGGTGCGCAAGAAAGAGTACGTGTGTCACTGCGGCGAGGTGCTGCCCTCGAAGGCGCGCTTCCTGTGGCACAAGGAGACGCACGACCTGAAGCCCAAATGCTGTCCGTACTGCTGCGATCGATTCGTGCACGCTAACTCGCTGCGCCGCCACATCCGGCTGGCGCACTCCGACAAGTTCGACTACGCCGAACCGATGGAATGTCCCATGTGCAAGCAGATCTTCGCCAAGACGTCCATCAAGGCGCACATGGCGACGCACTCGACGGAGCCTCAGTACGATTGCGCCATTTGCAGCAAGAGCTTCTCCACCAAATGGAATCTCAAGATCCACTCGTGGGTGCACGCAAACCGGACGGCCAAGCCCTTCAAGTGCGAGTACTGCCCAAAGGCGTTCGTGCGCGAGCTGGACTTCAAGAACCACATCAACGCGCACAAGCAGATCAAGCCGTACACGTGCGAGTACTGCGGCTGCAAGTTCATCCGCAAGTACAACTACATGCGGCATCGGCGCGAGCATCATGGCACCAAGAAGTTCACCTGCGACCAGTGCGACAAGTCCTTCCATCGGCACTACTATCTGATCGAGCACCGGCGCATGCACACCGGCGAACGGCCCTTTACCTGCACCATCTGCGGCAAGAGCTCCACCACGAAGACCAACCATAACAAGCATCTGAAGATCCACCATTCGCGCGATCCCTTCACCGTGGAGGCCTAAGGGTGCTTGGGTGCTTCGCCGTCATCGGGCTTCGTAATCGAAAGAACTTAAGTTTAATATAATCATTAACTAGGTAGTTGTTCATGACTCTTCTCTGTGTGTATTGTGTGTGTCTGTGGTTAAAACAACAAAAGAAAACAACAAATTAGTATTACTTATCGAACTATATATTTAGTTTACATATGCGATTGCCAACTCTTGTTGAATAAGCAAACAAGAAAAACAATTATCACAATAATTACATTTTACTAATCATACATTTTGGATGTGGTTTAAGAACGTAGCTAAATGTGAAAGTGTTCCCCCGTTCTCTTCCTCCCGATTCGAATCGCAATTCGCGTCAACCGCTTTAATCCCGTTTAGGTTTTAGTTTTAAACCCACTTTAGTGAAATGGCATACCTAGTTCAGTGCAATATACATCGATTAATTACTATATGCCGCGATACTTTTCATTTCTGTAGCTTAGTTCGCATTAAGTTTATTCATTTATCTACCTATGCATAGGGAAGCATACTAGTTAATTTAAGTTAGCCGAAATTGGTCTTAAAAACTTTCGAGTTTTTCCGAAACTTGAGCACATTCTACGCGAAGGACACATACACAGAATACGAAAACGAACACCCATCTAACAACTTGTTATATAATTTGTATTTTTCTAATTAAAGAGACAACTCTCTGCCAGCAATCGAACGTAAGTGAACACAACTGTCATATTGGATAAACAATTTCGATGTACGTAGCATATTTTTGATTTTTAGTAGTTGCAACTTCTCTAGGCTATTTTAAAGGATTGTTTCAATGGTTTAATGCAGCAATTAGTTAAAATTTCTAGCATTAAGTGAACACAACATTAAGTATAAATGAAATTTCACAATACATGCATACATGCATCATAATAACGAAAACAAACAAATGAAAAAAAAACAATTTTAAAATATTTACAACTTACAATACAAATTTCAATGAGAACTAATGGAAAGAATCCCATTCTATGGAGGAAATAAATTCAATTTATGGATAATTACAAAACAATTACTGACTTTCATTTTTTTGTGAGGGCAATCATGCTGGTTTTAGTTGAGGAAATGGGTGCAGTGCCGCACTATTTACTTACTGACGTTGAGCATACTCACCGTGAATTACTTTAGGATGTTCTAGTAAACTAAAAAGTATTTCCGGTAATGTAATGGCCTTTTATTAAAATACATTTATTTTAATGGTCATATGAACACTTGATGGTATTTAAATAATGAGTAAATTAAAATATAAAGTAATAATGTGATACATATTCAGTTATGTAGTTTTTCTTTAGTAGTATTTTTTTTGAGGTCGCATATTTGAAATTGAAAATAATATTTTGAATATTGTTGTTGGCTTTTGAAGGTTTTTTAGGTTTTCTTTAGGAACATCCAGTTTTCACAGAGGGATTGGTACACCAGCTTCTTCTTGTGCCTGTTCTCGAAGAGCTCCACTTCGATGAGATCGGACTCGCTATCAGATCGGTCGTTCTTGTTGGAATGGTAGTTGAGGGGATAATGAACCCGGGCATAGACCAGCGGATACTTGCAGAGGCAGGCCTGCAATGCCTGGCGCACTGACTTTTCACCAAAGTTTTTGTTTTTCTTCACGCCATGCAATTTGACACGGAACGAGCGCAGCGGGAACATGAACAACTGATTTGGCATCACCTTCAGGTGGTTGTATGAAACTTTCTCGGTGTCGTGGAAATCGATGTAGAAAACGGTGGCCTGAGGAGTGTTTGGGGGAGTAAATGGTGGTATCTCCTTGATGATGGCCCGGTACCACTGTTTGTCTTTCGAGTATCGGGCGAGGCACAAGTCACCCAAACTGGGTTTCTTCAGCGGTTCGGCATCCTTGATCAAAGCGCTCGTCTCTTGGACTAAGCTAATGTCGTACTTGGTAAATTCAGTGAGACATGGCGCGATCTGAAGCTCCGTGGCCGACAGTACGCTGTCCACAGTGCACTGAAATTGCTTTACTCCGTTGGGCAGGTTCAGCGTCTTGAAACTGCCACTTGCATCGTAGTAAGACCGAACTGTTGAAGTGTCCATTGGGGAAAAACTGACATTGTCCTTCATTTCCTGAAAAGTAACAAGTTTATCAGATAATTATGAGAAAAATAACTAATTTAGCATTTTTACCTTTTGGCGCAGTTCAATGCGGCGCTTCAACTGAGTTGCAGCCAAAGAATTCAGCGGCTCCATCTGACTTTCTTCCGATTTCTCATCCATCTCCATCTCTTTACTTTCAGTGGTATTTGATAACATCTCATCATCTGAACCATCAAGTCCCGATTCTTTCCACTTTCGCCAGCGTATTTATCAAAGTCGGGCAGAAAGAAACTATTGTTGAGATACATTTCCTCCGCGGCCTGCTGGCAATCGAAATCTTGATCACACTCAAAGGCCTCCACTTCCTTACTGTTTACCATGTACTTTTTCTTAGAGGGAGGTGGCGAAATGGTTTCGCCCTTACGCTGGGTTTTGCCCACTTCATTGTCTGATAATTCACCTTCCCCGGAAGCCAAATTCTCCAGTTCGTCAAATACCTTAAACTCCTCGAGCGCTTTTTGGGAGGGGATAAATAAAGATTTCTGCTTGATCTTTGAGTTTTCGGTTGGTACCGATATGCCGCTCAGTATCATCATAGCGCCAATGTCCAGATTGCCCACCTTGATCTGGCATGTGGGTATCTTTTTGGAACCCTCTCCCTTGGCGTCCACAATACGCACACTGCTCAGCTTCATGACCACAGCCTGGTGGACCGTGTCCATTTCCTTAATGGAATACTTTCCCTGCTTCGATCGCACTCCGTCTATCGTCACCAGGAAGCACATGGCGTTCAGTTCCGGGAACGGGGCATATGGCAGCATCTCATCCGCCTTGACCTGCTCCATGTTGCCGTAGTCCACATAGTAAACAGTGTACTCCTCGTGATTGTTTCGCAAGCGCTGCACTATTCCTCGGTAGATTAGGTTGTCCATGTGATAGGTGACCAGCACCGGTTGTCCCACCTCGTACGTATAGGACGTGGATCGCTCCTGCTGCTTATTCATAAGAGGTTTGTACTTTCGCACCAGCAGGCTGCGCATGTGCTCTAGGAAGGGCTTGTCGTTGGCCAAAGTCAGGTAGATGCAGCACTCGTAGCTCACATTGGTGGCGATCGCCGTGAAGATGGTCTTCTCACACTTACGCGGCGTTGTCCAACCGGCAGGTGGTGATGTCTGACCAATCGTTGGCTTGGCCTTTCCCAAATCCTCGAGCAGTTCCAGCGGAGGCATATCCTCGTTGTGCTCGAAGCCTGGTTTTACTCTTGGCAATTCTGAGGGATCAATGTTTTTTGCCTTATCAATCTTATCAATTTTGTCCATATAGGATTGCCAGGCTTTAATGTCAATGGATTTGGCAGTTCCTGTGGAGCGAGCGCTCATATTTTCCAGCACCGACTGCTGGTCTTCGTTATCGGAATTGAGATCCTTCTCAGCCATACCGGCCATCAGAAGGGTCTTGTTGATATTAACATACTTAGTTCGAGCAGGCGAAAAGGGTCCACTGACTAGCGTGTGGGAGCCCCAGAGCACAACGCTCAAAGAGTTATCCGTATGCCCGTTGCCGGTAACATAGATTTCATCGTAGGCTTGCAACTGATCCATGAAGAATTCAATGGCATCTTCAGACCACCCATCACCGATTGATCGAACTCCGTGTAGATGACAACGCTTAGCGCTGTTGGAGATGCGCATGTTGGCCTCGTCAATGTTGGTCATGCAAGTGCTGCACACATTCTCGACCAGCTCACCTAAATCCCTCAACTGAACTTGGTAGCGGACCGATTCGGAATTGCTTCCAGGAGGGATGACCTTCGTCACAACTCCACGATGCCAGAGCACCTCTGAATCAAACTTAGATTTGACTCTTACATAGCACATCTCGCCCACCTGCCAATTGGTCCTGGGTATCATATCTTGATACATTACTGCAGCTGCCTCCTGCACTGCCATCTGCAGATGGTCGATGGCTGGCTGGAAATGGGGAAGGGTCACATAGAACTCATCCGGCTGCCGGACGTGGAGAACAATGACATTCACTCGCTTGTTGCGCTCAGTTTTATCGGCCTTCTGGTAAGGAGCCAGTTCCACGGGCTGACCCTTCTGAAGTGCCAGAAACCGGCGCGTTTCCGCATCGAGGCGTATGCTTCGGTTGGATTCGGGTGGGTTAATCATCTTACTGCTCTCCCCACTCGACGTGCAATACCCCTGGGCAACCAGTTGGACTCCCACGCTTGTGGTCTCTGAGCCGGAACGTATAAAATTTAGCGCCACGTATACCACATCCGCCGTGGAACGGATCACCTCCATGTGCAGCTTGGGATTCGAGGTGAGTTGCTTAAAGAAGGCCGTCGCCTCTGGGGTCCACATGTAGGCCAGCTCCGCACGGGTTTCCACATCCGCCAGGCAGCACTTGATGGCGAACTCTTGGTCCCAGAAGTTCTGGGGCAGCACAAACAGTTGGTCCCAAAATACCTTTTGGCTAGGACCATCGTCCACCAGGCGCACTAGGACATAACCTGAGCAGAGAATGAAATATTATTGAATGTAGTTAAAGGTAATGGAGTCTCCCACTCACCATCGGGTAGAATCTGCTCGATGCTAGCGCGCTTCCACTGTCCATCCGACTGCAGAACGCAACCAAGATGCAGTCGACCCAGGAAAATGTTCTGCAGCTGACTAATGTTAATCCGATCCATGGATCCCTGGAGGCTGGATTGCAGAAAGCAACGCTTCGCCTCGAGATCGTGGCGCATAACATAGAACTCTTGCGGGTCCTCGACGTGCAGCATCTGGATCATCAGTACGTCGCCAAACTGGAACGTCATTCTCGGCAGGCGCAGCATAGTCGGAGCAGGCTGCAGCCACTGATGGCCAATGGCTGGCGCTCGGCCGCAGCGGGAGCGCGCCAGGCCAGAGTATAAAAAAGAATCACGTACGGAGATATCAGTATTGTAGTTGCTGGTGATGAGGTCCACTTCGTGTAGCTCATGGGACAGAGCTTTCTTCACGATCACATGAACAGGATTGCTGTAGGAGATTGCAATATATTAGATTAATTATGAATCTACTGTGAACTGGATGTATATACTTCTGCACTATCTGCTTGAGGAAGGCGCTGGCCCTAGTATCCCATTCGGAACCACCGTGGTTGGGCATCAGCTCCCTTAGGCTGCAGTGAACGGCGGAGTACGGCAGGTGGGCCAGACGTTCCGGCACCTCTCGAAAGCTGCAAGGATTCGAAATATCAGTAATAAAATTCAGCCTTCCATGAGGAAAACTCACTTGCTGCTGTGCACTTCCATGTAGAGGCCAATGTCCGGCAAAAATACCTTGAAGGTATCCCGAGTGGACAGCTTTTGGCTGACCATGGCACGATCGAAGCGATCCTGTTCCTTGTGGTAGGTAATGTAGTGCTGGCCCACCACGATCGTCGGCGGAGTGGAGCGGCTTTCGGAGAGTGTCTGGGCAAAAGTGTCCAACTCGACGCGCAATCGCTGGGCAGCATGGATGCCCTGAACATAGAAATCCTCGGGGGAGTTGACAGATCGCACCTTAACCAGTGCATCGGTTTTGAACCAATCACCCTTGCCTTCTGCCTTAGAAGTCTGTGTACAATTCGGTTTGGTAATGTCCAAGGCTGAGAAGCTCTGTACGAAATCCGATTCCCTTGCAGGAAACTCATCGGTAGTTGCAGTAGTCGAGTTTAGACTAGATTTAGCCTTCTGAGCCTTTTTGGTCCTTTTCTTTTGTTTCTGGGACATTGACTTTGGTCTCGAATTTTGGGTTGACATCACGTTGGGCTGAAGGATGTTCCCCAAGCCATTGCTGGAAGACTTGGAGAAGGTAAAGTCTTCCTTGGCTGATGTTGACAAGCTGCGACTCATCTCAAAATCGGTCTTAAAGTTAACTTTTATCTTGGGGTCCACAAATTCGCACTTGAATATGTTGGACATGTCTAGGAATCGACTAGAAGTCACGCTAAAATATAGAAAAGAAGAATATTAAAAAAATTGTTAAGGGATTTAATCTTTAGCATAGTTTTTCACATACCGGTAGGGATTTTGCTCGATCTTGCTGACCTGCACAGTAGTGGGAATCTTCTCGATATGGTCGCCAATCAGTTCGATCAGCCATCTCAAGGATACATCATCGGGCACACCCATGTTGCCCTCGGATCCACTTTGCAACCAATGTTTTAGGCGCTAATTTTTTAAAAGATTTCTTTATTTAGGATTGGTACTAATGCATTTATATATATAACCCACCTTGATCACAGTTTCGTAGCCACTCAGAGTGCCCATGGCTTCGTTGAGTTCCAATTGCGGTGGCAGACTGGACTCGCGCAGCTTCTCGATGACCTGCAGCTCGGCCACCTGGAGCAGTCCGTGCAGGTGGCAGAAACGCTTGGAGATGCTGGCCAGCGTTTCGGAGGCATAGTCGCTTAGTTTCTTCTTGGCCACTTGCACCACCTGTGAATGCAAAGAGGTAGGGGGAGAGACTGCTGGTTAGTGGATGAAGATAGCCATGCAGATTAATACGTTGCACATTCTAATGACTCCGCGCTGGAAGTGGTTGCCACCTAACCCGACCTCACCTATCCACCTCTTCATCTCACTCTCCAGGTGAACGGCGAGCGTCTTGGGTTTAATTGAGCATTTCCCAATCGCAGGCAATCGGTGGCAACTTCTTCTCAGAGCTGCCAGTTCGGCTTGTTTGTTTTATAAGAAAAGATTACTATAAAATAAATTAACATAATAAAAATATCATACTTTATATCTATTTTATTCTTCTCCATATATTAAAATCATCCTACTTTATACTTGACTAGAATTTATTTAGAATGAATGCATATTGTTTCTCTTAATCAGTGCTTGTGAGTATAGTACTAATTTCGAGGAAAAGCAATAAAAATTGGAAAAAAATGCATGAGATTTTAATAAATAGATCTGGCTATGAAATTCAGAACTAATATTTTTTCATGTTTTTCTTAAGGTTTCCTCCCGTTAAACCTTTATTGGTTGTTAATTTCTTTCTAAACAAAACGGCCAACACTGCTTCTTCAGTTGGGTCTTAATCACAATCATCTGCTTTGCCTCTCGTCGAACGGCAATGATGATCATTATCAAAGATTGTTTGGCTGTTAGCTGGGTTTTTGAAAGTGATTGTAAAAATCACCGAAATAATGCTGGCTTGGATCGGATCGCTTTGGATCGGGCTTATGACAGCTGATTTGTAGCAGATGACAGGCAAGTTCGCGCCAACGGGCCGTTCTGCCATAAAAGGGCAACCATCGAGCGATCCAATCTCAAGAGTTGTCGTGTAAATGAAACCATGTAGGAGCCCGAATCTGGCACATCATTAAAACGAAACTCGGATCGTTTTGCCATTCCCGTCGCTTGGGGCAATGTGAAATCAATTCGGCTGACCTTGTCAAGGGTTTGGGTTCGAGTTTGAGAGCCTAATATCGACATAGGCATTTCCATTGTTTACCTTGTCCATCAAAAGTCCCCAGCCCGATTTATATTCACGTGCAGTCCACAATTAGTTTCTTATGGCTAAATACTTTTCAATTATCTGCAAGCCCAAATTAAAAAGATATGAAGCCAAACCAAGAAACTATTTTTATAAGTAGCCTAATATTAAAAAAAAAGTTTTCTAAAGTACAAATCAAAAATTGGGTCAAGGCTAAATTTTGATAGTAAAAATAATTAATTTATTTATAAAAGTATTCCATTAACATTTGAGAGGTTGAATACCGCGAAAAATTACGATAAGTTAACTGTGTAGATACAAATATTGAGAAAGCTGTTAATTCATCAATATAATCAAGAAGTTATGGACTATATAAAAAATTTTACTGCAATATAAATAAAAATCAAGAGTAATGATACCCCTTCTGGCAAGAATAACTAATATTTGTTATTATTAAAATAATTAAGAAACATTAAATTCGCCTCGGGCTGATTAGTGTATGATCATAAATCCACTGGCCAACCAAATATCAATCAACCCGTAATAGTTGCCATCATTTTAGAAACTCTGCGATAGATAAATGTTGTCATAACTTGATCTACTCGGCTGTAGACATTGATTTAATGTGCCTTTGGAGATTACATAACCTTGTCGGTCTCGTTTGATGGATCTTTCGGCAGTAGTTCTAAATTGATTTCATATAACACTTGGCAGAAACATTAAAACTATTAGTGGGCAATTAAAGTTACAACAAAAAAGTCGGCGAAAATGCGATTATTAAACGCAATTGAACATAAATTTTTGTTTAATAAACTTTGCGGTGAATAAGTCCGACTTCAGTCGATCGCAGACGGATGTACAGACAGACAGTCGAGTTCATTTTGGCCAGTTTATCAATTACAGACAATCCGACTCTCCGCCGGACACGCAATTTGGTAGCATTTTGCGCCGCCTCGTTAGCCAGCTTTTCGTCTTTTTAACTTGGCTCAGTCGCAGATCGGCTGGCTGCGTAATGCCCAGCCGCGACTCTTTGGCTTTTGCCCATTAATAATTGTTTCTCGTTTTATATAACACATAATTTGAGTACGCATTTCTTGTATTTATTTTTGCAATTAACCATGGGGGAAGCAAACAAACAGCGATTTCTGCACGCCTCAATCCGGTCATTCGGGGGCCTAATGTGATTATGATTTATGTGGGAGGCCTTGAAGTGCTACCTCTACCTCTACATCACCCCAGATTGGACCAAACTGTCCGAACTGACGGACTGACTGATGCCAGTTAACCCAGCCAGCAGCATTATGCCGGCCAATTCGATCGGAACCATCTGGACAAGGCTAATTGCGAATGCTGGTCGGCGCATGGCACACGGCATCGGCATGGAGTAAATTATGGGAGCTGCCCCTCCCAAAGGTCCTCCTTTTGTGTCTCCATTTAGCTCATTAAAATGCGGGTCCAGGCCAAAAGCAGAAGACTCTTGGTTAAGCCAAAGAAGCCTGCTTCTCGACCAAGAGACATTCTGTGGCAGCCGAAGACCCACAATGCAAGGTCAACTGCAGAATGGTTTGCATTCAAGATGCTCTGGGCAAAAACACTGACAAAAATATTTTTAAAAAATGTTATACTAAGTTTAACGGTCAGATCTCGTACAAATATTCCTGAGATAGAATAGATTTCAAAAATCATTAAGATCTGGATAGTGAAATATTTTTAATATTATTTTTTACTTAACATTAACTTCTGTAGATTAATTTAAAATTTACCACAAAACCTACAAAATTCAGAGTTTCAAAAATATTTTTTAAATGAATATATTTCAAATGCGTGGTCCCAGAAATACATAATAACTAAAAATTCATTGGTAATGCGAATATTCGAATATTCCTACCGAATAAATATTTATATTTCTGAAATCATAGTAAGATTTTTTGACAAAAACCAATAAAAATTTAGCTTATGCTAATATATCCCAGGCTTTTTGTATTCAAGTTGTAAAGTTTTTTTACAGTGACTATAAATAAGAAACCAATTCTAATGCCTCCAAAAAATACACAGCTACAGAAAACCTCCAAAAAATGAAAGGCCCCCAAAAAGCAACAAAGTGTCATTCAGCAAAGGCTTTTCCGCTCTGGCCAAAACCAAAAAAAAAACATAAAAATATGAAGAGAAAAACTTAATTACACTATTAATTAGAAGCTGCGGCCTTATCTCAGTCGCTAAGTTTTTGTTCTTTTGTGTCTAGTTTTTCCAGCGCGAAGGTTGCCCAAAATAGGGTTCGGGGCTCTCTAGACTGCGAACTTTTACGTGATTCATCGGGCAATTGGCCATTGCGTAAGATCAGAGCCGAGCTAGTTAGTACAATTAAAAGTGAGCTAGTCGAGTGCGCGCTCAAGTTAAACATATAGACTTTTTTTTGGATTTGGAGGCACGACAAACGAGTTCAGGCCCGGCTCAAAAAACCCACTCAAAAATGAGTTTTAGTGGAGTGAGATCGTTTCCATTGGGAGTGGAGTGGTTTCTGGGATTTCTGAGTAGACCGTCAAGTATTCGTACTCGTATTCAACAACAATTGCAGTCAGTTGAGGTTGAAGCGTCTGGTTGAACGGTTGTACTTGTCGATCAATAGTAGATCCCCAGAATCACAGACCATAATAATAAAAGTGAAACGAGAAGAGTGTGTCTTGTATTATTATTGTCCCCGGCCACATTTGTGTTGTGCCATATTCGTATGCCCCATTGTCTCGGGGAAAAGCTAACCGAAAAAATAAGAAAAACTGAAGCAATTGCAACTGTGCAGCAACGTGTAGCTTTTACCCGCCCGCTATTTTGGCCGAATGTTGGGCAACTTACAACATTCAACTTAACTGCTTTATAGGCCATGCAAATTTGAGGCAATCTCTGGCTTTGGTGTGGCTCGATTTTCCATTTTTCCAACTAGGAAAAGTCAAGCACAAAAAAACAAACTAGTGCAACCGTTGCAGCAGCCGCAGTTGCAAATGAAAACGAATTGATTGTAATTGTTTCTTAAAACGAAAACTAACGAGTCGTTAAATCGCTGTAAGGCACGCGGTTTTTGTTGCCTTGTCGATCGGTTTTCAAGTGCATGAAAGTAAGTGCGAGTGCTTAGCTAACAAAAAAAGCAAACAAACATTGCAAAAGGTCATAAAACACCACAACACACATATAAATCAAACTTATTAAGTAGGAGTCGAAAAATAAAGAAAACAAAAAGGAAACCCAGCTTCCCGCCAAAAATAAAGAGCAAAAATAATATTTACAGGCAGCAGACACAGCAGCAACATGTTGCCGAGGATAACTTTCGTGTTCATCATCATTTGTGGATATTTATTATTTACTGGTAAGCTGTGAAGACAATCCCCCAGGCCATAAATCAAAAATTCCCACAATATTTATGTGGCTCGCATGCTAAGTAGAGAGGTTACTTACAACATGGTCTGACTTTGTCGGATCTTACAATGCACTTAGCGTAAAGTTGCATTTTTAGAACTTTTACAACTAAATCTATAGTTATTTATTATTTTTTTTATTTAAAAACAGAACAAATAAACACATTTTTTCATTTCTAACTTATCACAAAGTTTACTCATAACCAAAATCAATTTTCCAGCTTTGACTTTGATTGTCGCATTTCAAATCTCAATTACCCATATATCATAAAAATGAAAAATGCATCTTAATCACTTGATGGACTGACACTCTGTCATAAGATTTTTGATAAAGTCCTTAATTGATGTAAAGGATATCTATCCATCGTTTTAAAAGTATAGGGTATTTACCAAAGCAGTATTCTGAACAATAACTATTTTTATGGCCACAGCAACAAGAAGGCTGGCACAAGTCGTTTTGCCATGGATTTAGTTAATCAAATTACACACAAAAATGCCAGTTAAGCGCAATAAATTCTAGCAGATTACACGAAAACAACATCGCATTGATGTACATATACGTATTCTTTTATAGCTACAGTTGTAATGCA